AGGGATCACTGAAGCATATAATATTCTTAGGTGTGTCTAATCTCTGATGGTCCCGAAGTTGGCATGCAGATTTCAGTAGTGTCATGGAATCTATCTATGCATAGTCTTTTGGAAACAGTTTTTCATACATATTAGGTGTGAATAGAGACCCAAAAACCACCCTGACCATACGCAATAATGTCGATGGCTTGAAAACTATGTGAGTTTGTTTTGGTTGTTCATTTACCCTTTCATAATTGAAGATTTGGTTTCGGTCACCACCCAACTGAACTAATGATTAAATTTATATACTCATTAATTGTAAGATTGATATAATGATGTTATTTATACTTGCTTTATTTATATAATATATATCTAATAAGGAAAAATCCTTGTAATGCTAATAAAAAATGAAAAGAACGAGGGATGAATCTCACATTGAAGTTCAAATTAAACATAAAATGTAAAATCCAGAGTCCCTCGTACACAGGAATAGTAGTTGAATGAAATTAGTATTTGAGTTTGAAATTATATTAAAACAATCATTTGGATTTCAATGACTTTAATTTTGAAAGGTTGTAAAAATCTATAATGTATAATGCAGGGTCCAAATTTGCGCCCAAACCACCTACCTGATATTCAGACTACCTAACAGCCAAACTGAAAGGTTTTAGTGTGTTGGCGGTTCCCAGTTTCACAAAACCAAGTTGGTTCAGTCCTTTAGACCGGCCAGAGCATAAGCAACTGTGTTTATCTGCAGCCCTAACATATTCTAAGTGGTGATTAGGTGTTCTATCAAGAATTATCTGCTCTCAGTAACTTCCTCGTCCAATGTCTACTTCACTCTTATCTGCAGCTACCTTTGTCTTGCAATCGTGTTGGTGAATATGATCAACCTCTAACAATTCTGCTCTATTGTTATTTTTGTGGTAGTTACATGCCTCTTTCTGGCTTCGGTGGGGCCCTTTCAGGGCTCTTAGTCGGTGTCAAGCAGATAATTCCTGACCAAGAATTGGCTCCACTAAAAATCAAAGCTAAGGTATGAACTTGAAGCATATGAAAGTACCCATTCTGATCCCTTTCATCAAAAAGTGGTATCTCGACTGTCAAGGCAATCATCTTTTGTTTCTCTTTTCTGGTATTCCTAAATTTGATTATGTTTATGTGCTATGCAGTGGGCGCCATCTATCATGTTATTTCTGTCTATTGTAATAAGCTTCTTTACAGTAGAGCCAGCAACATGCCTTCCAATGCTGATATTTGGCACGTATATTGGTTGGATCTACCTCAGATACTTTCAAAGGAAACAAGAAACAAAAATAAAGGGCGACCCCAGTGATGAATTTGCCTTCTCTACCTTCTTCCCTGAATTCTTAAGGTAATTTAGTGATATTTGGCACGTATAATAGAATTTCTGTTTTTATCAGCGAAGGTCGTCCCTGAAGGGGGTTGTGAAAAGACCGTGAAGTCCTTGACCTCTAGGCTGTCATCTTAGGCTTATATGATGTAAATGGGACATTCGTTTAATCTAACTTGTCGATTTGCAGACCTTTGATTGATCCGATTGCTTCGATATTTCATCAAATGCTCTGTGGAAGATCTGAAGATTCCAACGAGGCCAGGGGCTATACAGTAGGTACTGCTCCATTGCCTGGTTCTGATCCCGTCGAGGCAACTAGGAGAAGGTAACTGGATGAACAATTTTTCTACCTTTTTATTTTAAGCTGTACTTTTATATATGAGACTTGCATCTGTCCAAACATGATCCATTATTTACGAGAGCATACTTTTGTGTGGACTGAAAATGTAGAATTAGAGCAACTGCTTTGTGCATCCCTGAAGGAAACAATTAAATAAAAAACCAAACCAAACATACCCGGTATATCCTACTTAAAAGTGGGGGGCGGGGGGTGTATGTGCAGACCTTTGCTCTACTCTAAGGGGTAGAGAGGCTGTTTCTGTGAAGACCATCGGCTATCTACTATTCTACTTGCAAAAAGGTTTTGCAGAGACAGAGAAACAGGGAGTTCATCAAAGAGTGTCCTTTTTAAAGTTGCTAAAGAAAGAGTGTGTGCAAATAAATGCCAGAAGAAGAGGTTGAAACCAACTATGACAAGTGTAAGGGAAATTGACCGAAATGGCCATTTCTCTCGCATTGATTGGTCTCCTAGCCATTCCTCTCCTTGTTTTATCCAAATGTCACTACCTCCGTAAGTGGCACCTCCATAATTTGCGGAGGTAGCTAAAAGACAAAAATTTACAATTTCTTCCCAGGTTCGCAAGTGGCACCTCCGTAATTTCTGTTCAGGTCCGCAAATTATGGAGGTGCCACTTGCGGACCTGGCAGAAATTGTAATATTTTTTTCTTTTAGCTACCTCCGCATTGCGGAGGTAATGACATTTGGGTAAAACCGGGAGAGGAATGACTAGGAGACCAATTACAGTGAGAGAAATGGCCGTTTCGGTCAATTTCCCCAAGTATAAAACGAAGTACTAGGACCAAAAGGACATTGCTACTCCAGCCCCCAAACTACAGTCAGCTGGCCTACTAGCCCCTACAAAAAATATGCGACCCCAGTCTTGCATTTCCAAGAACTCCTATAAGAGGTACTATCCATAGGTTTACATTTATTATCTTTGGTGACTGTCTTCTATAAATAAACGTTTCTCAACTTTCACTAACAAGAAAATCTGTATGCATGTTTAAAATGCTGAATCCTGCCTACTTAGAAAGTCAATAACCTCCAAAGTAGTATGCTTCCTTGGTATTCTGTTGTTGCAAATCTATTCAGATCATCAAAAGTTACCACCAGACTCACCATAATTACTTAAATGTGTGCATTAACAAAAGAAGAAAATATATACAAACTTGATGGTCATCATAAATTTACTCAATTTTAATTTGGATCAAGAGTTGAGATGAAGAACCAAGTAGGAATGAAAAGTCACCATCAGTTTAGTTGCTTCTTCTTTTATCTTCTAATATTGAAAAAACATGTCAGTTAATGCATCATGGATCACAATCTTTCTTGAAAAAGGAAACAATGGTGAGTTTGGTAGATTTAGTTGTAAACAAGAGGATGAATTGCAGGGAAAGGGGTGCGCGAGCATTGGAGGAAAGACTGGCAGCTGAGCCCCAAAGAGATGTAACTGAAAAGGTTTAGATCATTAAACTCTTGTGTCTATTCGAAAAGCAGCAGATCAAGTATATCCTGCTGGATGTTCCAGGTAGCAATCAGTTTCGGTAGATCCTAGCCATTATTTTTTTGTCTAGCAATCGAGTTGGCATAAATTTTGAGGTACATATAGTCACGAGGCTCCCGGATCTCCAAATCTGTTTCAATCCATAAACTTCACCACCCTCGTTTGGTGTTTACATCCTCTTCTTTCTTGTATAACTAAATGCAATTACAACAATCTTTGCAGAATATCAGCTGTTGCAATGTATAGGACCAATTGTTGTTACGTTTTTTTTATTTTATATATTTCAATTACTTATTTAATATTCAGTTCTTTTTATTATATTTGAAAATACTAATATAGTATAAATGAATACATATATGTATGTATATATATAATTTATTGTTGTTTTCGTCCATTTGTTTACGGTTCTTTGTTGTTTTCATTCTTTGTATTTGAAGGTAGAAGTTAGACTTACGAACGAAAATAACAATGAATTGTAAACCGTAGAAGTTGCAATTCTAAACAAACCACATGGATAGAAAACGTAATGTACAGGAAGAAGAATCAGCGAGGGTAGAAAGGTAAAAAGCAAGATACTTCTTGAATTTACTTTCAATAAAGCGAGTGTCTTCTTTCATGCCACCATCTCCACCTGCAAAGATCCATACGCATAACGACAGTCATTTCTTTGGGTAAAAGAAATATGAAAAACTACTGTGCCGAAAAGACATATATGCTCTTTTGGTTTATACGTGATTTCCAAAGAGACAAGTTTACACTTTTTGTGAAATCAAACTTTTTCTCTCTTTTTAATAAAGATATCCATTTGTAATAGTGAGATGCATACCAAAAGAAATCCCATCTGGGTCGGACTTTGGACATTCGGTTTTCTCCATATGGATAATCTGTCTCGGCCCTCCGTGTGTTCCGAAAGGCACAACAACCGATGCAATATATGCCGATGAGAAGCAACGTCATAATAACGTTAAGAACCGAGAGTTTGCGCCAATTTCTCCTCACATCCTCCAACACCCCGGCTTTGCACGAGTCACACTCGTAGCATAATACGTCTGGATCGTTGTTCCATTTGTAGCAGTCTAGATCCTGATCCATCGTTGTCATCTGATAGTTGCATACACTTGGTGGCTTACAACAACCTGACTGCACATAGCAAAATACATAACAAGAAATAATTAAAAATTCAATACAAATGTTATAGTTATATTAGGGATGTGATTAAATAGATTGTTAGAACAGTTATTTTAAACAAAAAATCCACCATCCTCTCCCCAAAATTATATTTTAATGGAACACACGTGAAATTAATATAACTAAAATTGGAGCAACCAATTAATGGTTAATATATTTAAAATCTCACGTCAGCTAGACTTGAAGTGTTTCTCATGAATATATATATATATGTATGTATGTATAGACAACGAGACCTAAAATTGATTATGAACCTAAAAACTGTCCACAACACGACACATGATATATTAATCAGTAAGGGCATGTTTACTTGTGGCTTAATGAGCTTACCGGATAAATGGGCTTATTCGCACAGCCATTTTAGGCTGTTTACTTCGGGCTTATTCGCCCAGACTCGGGCTTATTCGCACAGCAGGAAACCATTACTTGTCCACATTAAGCCAAGAAAAAGACGTGCCTACCCTTCAACAAAACCCACGCCTCTCTTTTCTCCTCCAATAGTCGCTACTTCTAATCCAATCTTCTCCTCCAATCTTCTCCTCCAAGAACCCTAATCGGCTGAAATAGTTTCTCCTCAAATCAAGGCTCTCTTCTCCAAAGGTAACGCTTCTCCTTATCTATAGATTATGCTCGATTTTGCTGCTCGTTGCTGCTCGATTTTATCTGAATATACTCGATTTTCTCCATTGACAGTCGACGCCCTCTTCTCCTCCAAAGAACCCTAATCGGCCGATTGCTCTCCATCGACAGTCTACGTTGTCTTCTTCTCCATCGACAGTCTACGTTGTCTTCTTCTCCATCGACAGTCTACGTTGTCTTCTTCTCCATCGACAGTCGACGCTGTCTTCTTCTCCATCGACAGTCGACGCTGTCTTCTTCTCCATCGACAGCCGATTGCTCTCAAGTTCCATATCGATTTCATGTTTGTTCGATTTTTGTTTGCTTGTGTTTGCTGCTACCCTAGCTGCTTTTTATTGATTTCATGTTTGTTCAATTTTTGTTTGCTTGTCTTTGTTGCTAGAAAGAAACCCTAGCCGAGCCATGAAAGTTGTTTATTCTGTCAGTTGTTTATTTTGTTTTATTCTCAGGGGTAAATTGGTCATTTCTGTTATTCAGACTGATGATTCAGATAGAAAAGTAAACATCAACATAAATTTATCCAGACAGACAAATTTATCCAGACAGGCAAATTTATCCATACAGGACTTAATATAAAATTTGGTAAACAGCCCCTAATATGGATGTGTTATTTATCATGAATGTATAATTAATGATGAATAAAATGTCTATAACACATCCTTATTTATCATGAATGTTTGACTCATGATAAATAATACTTTCAATGTTTATCGTAATATGGGTGGTTTCTTGATCTTTAATCAATTTTGGATTCCTAACAAGACTTCCCATGCCCCATCTCTCTCTCTCTCTCTCTCTCTCTATATATATATATATATATATATATATATATAAACACACACACACGGATGAAAAATTATATTATATGGAAGTTAAGTTAACAAAAAAAATATGATTATTTTGGTCTAATTTAATTAGTTCGAATTGTATTTATTTTTTTGCCCATTTTCGAACAAAAAAAAAAATAGGGAAAGGAAGAGGTTTTTTAATTTGAAAAACATTATTCTATCCGTTTAATTTATCCTATTTAATCATATTCATTAAATCAATTAATCTAACGATTGATAAAGTGTTTTATAATTTTTCATTTATTTAAGATTTTTCTATTCTCTCTATACATAATATAAATCAAATGCAACATTTTCAATATATATATATATATATATATATATTATAAATATGGATTCAAGTTCTGTAAATTTAATGAAAAGAGAAAAAAAAGGTTTCCAATTAATAGATTGAGATGAGTACTGTACCTGAATTGGAGACATATCCTTGGTTAAATAATCAACAGGAGACCACATAACGATATCCCCACAAGTCTTGGACCCCAAAATACAACTTCTTACCGTCATCCAATACTTTGGATCCTCAACTCTTTTCCTCAGCCATGGCGAATAATCCTCCAAGTGATATTCATTGTATACCCTGCCTGAAACTTCTGATCCGCCACCTGCTCCTGTCACGATGAACCCAAAAATGGTGATGACCAGCAAGGCTGCGATCAGGAACAACATGACCAGCAGGTAGACCCACAGTGCCCATGCTAAGTGGAAGCATGCACCGATGAAACCCACCAACGATACTATCAAGATTACGAATCCGATCACTAGAAGTGGCGTTTGGAGGAAGCTTTCACAGGTGGCGCTGCTTCTTGCTATCCATAAAGCACCGCCGATGATGGGTATTGATGCTAACAGTGTGAATAGGTTCAATAGACCTATTACAGTGTTACTAAACCTTGACATATCTACTTTTAACTTCTTACTTAATTTGCTACAATCTGCTGTTCATATATTGCCACTCTCTCTCTCTCTCTCTCTCTCTATATATATATATATATATGTGTGTGTGTGTGTATATTGCTTCTCTCTCTTAAAAACGGGGGATAATAAGGGTTGGAGATGGAAGAACTCAAATTATATACATAATCTGCAGGGGTTCAAGATTACTTTCCCATGCAATAGGTTGGAAGAACCTTATAGAGGATAATGTTGTGTATGCACTTGTTAATTAAGCCTATATTTGTATATGTTCACTTTATTAGTTTTATTTACATGACATATGAAGAGAATAAAAGTATAATTGTAGGGTTTTTTTTTCTTAATTTAATTGAAAAGAATCAAATAAAACCTTAGTCGTTAAGTAACTCCTTAATTCAAATAACTTGTGTGCAATGACCTGAACTTGGTTTCGTCCCTACGAGCCTAATATATACACATATATATATATATATATATAGTTTTTTTGTGAATAAATCATGCTCGTTGTCCCAAAAAAAATCCATTTCACATACAAAATGATGTTTTGTATGAATGAAAAACGAACGATGTATGTCGAAATTAATGTGTAATGGTATTTATAGTTTCAACGTGTAATTATAATAAGAATAATGCATGAAATCCTGTTAGAAGTCTTATATTTAAAGGTGAACACATGATAAGTGATGGTTTAGAAGGGGAATCTGTGAATTTATATATAAAAGATAGACACAAAGGTATATAAAAAGACCATCCAAAAAATGGTGTGGCCTGAATTTTGAGATTCCATTTTATCTCCTCAACATATTAAGGGAAATATTCTTATTCCCTCTGCCCAAATCTTCATGTTTCACACCCACAATCTAGATACAATGCATCAAAATTTAATTACCCTCCATTATATTTTATATATATATATATATATATATATGATTAGATTTACTTCACACCAACTTGTTTTTGTGAGACATGTAAGACCATCTGTTTACACTTGAAATTTTACAGCAAAATACTGTAAAGGTAACAAAAACCTAACCTTCACAGTAAAAACACTGTGAAGATTCAAATGTAAAATATTTGTCTCACGGGTTTTACGAAAACAGACTAGTTTTACGCGATCCTAAGTGTCTCTCCCTGTGAAGTTGAATTATGTTGGTGAAAGAGAGAGATGCCCATACTACATCATGAACATACCCTAGCTAGTCATGAAGCAGGGGTATAAATTCCAAGTTGAATGCCTCAAGAAAGGAATATATTGACATAAAGTTATAAAATATTTGTTCTTTCTTTAATTTGATAGGACATATATATATATATATATATATATATATATATGAGCGATCAAATAAAAAACGCCTCCATTTGTATAAACCGTGTAAACCAATCTCACCCATTCATTTTATTGATCAATAGTTAAGATTAATTAAGGTTATTTAAGAAAATTTAAAATAAAAAAAATTAAAAATACATTTTATAATACCGATAAGGGCAAAAAGGTAAAATCAAATATTCATTTATTCAAGGAAACCATATCATGTATATCATATTATTAATGAAACTAATCTATTTTTTGTAAAGTAATTTATTATTTTTACGTTAACATTTATTACTATTAATGAAACTAATTTATTTTTCATCTTGCAATTATTTCATGATGAACCGCCTACATTATGCACCCGTTTCATTTTTTATTTCATCTACTGAATGGATCACCTACACCATCACTGAAACGGGTTTCACCATGAAAGCARTTCACCACTCATTGTTCAATTACGTCATGAACCAGTTTCACCTTCATGAAACCTGTTTCATGTAAATTAATTTTTTTATTTCACCATGAAAGCAGTTCACCACTCATTGTTCAATTACACTATGAATCAGTTTCACCTTCATGAAACCTGTTTCATGTAAACAATGTTGTACACCATCACTGAAACGTGGTTCACTATGAAACGTGGTTCACTATGAAACGATTTCATATTACTCATGAATCAATTACAACATGAACCAGTTTCACCTTCATGAAACCTGTTTCATTAACATTATTTTTTTAATTTGAACCATAATTTACGATTTCATTCCATAATGCAATTCAATCTTCAAGACCCGTTTTCAGATTCAATCTCATAACAACATATCAAATTCAAAATTTTAATATTATAATATAATTAAATATTTAAATGTTACCATTTATACAATTTTCTTTATTACGTTTCCTTAATTAAGATTTATTAATAACTTCCATATTTAATAGAAAATATTGTAAATGACCGAAATATCTTTATTGATTAAATTTAATTAGAAAAAAATGAAATTTTCCTATTGGTCGAAATTGGTTTACACGGTTTCTTAGAAAAGCACGATTTTCATTTGAACGTGCCCCTATATATATATATATATATATATAGAGAGAGAGAGAGAGAGAGAGAGAGAGAGAGGAGCGTTCAAATGAAAACCGACTCCATTTGTGTAAACCGTGTAAACCAATCTCATCCATCCATTTTCTTTTTCAATGGTCAAGATTAGTTTACTTTATTTTAGGAAATTAAAAAAATATATATATATATATATATTAAAAATTTATTTTATATCAGCAATAAGAGCAAAATGGTAAACAAAAATACATTATATTCAAGACAACAATATCCTTCATATCATATTATAAATGAAACTATTTTATTTTGTAAAGCAATATATTGTTTTTACATTTAAATAACATCCATCAATAAAATATATCAAAAAAATAAATAAAACACACCATATTCAATTATATATAATGAATCGTTTCAAAATTTGAATTACATTATATGAATGAAATTGGTTTCAAAATTTCATCAACAAACTAATCAACGTAATACTGATCATATTTCGTAATTTTCATTATACTGGCAGATGGATCCGTTACATTTAGATAACGAAAATTTTCATTGTTTACTGAGTTCATAAAATTTTATAATACAACATGAAATAGTTTCATTGTCTTAACTGTTTACTGCGTTTATAGAATTTTATGGTAAAACATGAAATTTTACTCATGGTTTGATGCGTCATTTGTTATTTCATCGTGAAATTATTTCACGAGGAATCGTCTTTATTATGCATCCGTTTCATTTACCATTTCATCTACTGAACGGATCACCTACACCATCATTGAAACGGTTTCACCATTAAAGCGGTTCATGACTTATTGTTCAATTACGTCATGAACCAGTTTCCTCTTCATTAAAACGTTACATCTACTWAACGGATCCACTACAGCATCCCTGAAACGTGGTTCACCATGAAACTAGTTTGATAGTCATGAAACAATTGGAACATGAACCCGTTTCATTTTCATGAACCTGTTTCATTAACATTAAACATGTTATTTCACTTTTGATTCGATGCATTCTTTTCTTTAATCCTCACAATCTTCAAGATTCATGAGCAGATTACAATCTTCAAAGATTCCGAAGCAGAATCATCATGTATCCGTTTCATCATACATTTAATTCAGAAAGAACCAAATACATCATGCATCCGTTTCATTTTAATTTTACCAACTAAACGGATCAACTCCATCATCAATGAAACGTGGTTCACCATGAAACTAGATCAATAGTCATGAATCAATTAGAACATGAACCAGTTTCACCATCATGAACCTGTTTCATTAACATTAAATTTTTTATTTCAACCTCAAATTAAGATTTCATTCCATAAGGTGATCGAATTTTCAGCACACGTTTCCAGATTCAATTTAATAACAATATATTAAAATCAAAATTTTAAAATTATAATATAATAAAATATTTAAATGTTACCATTTATACAATTTCCTTTATTACGTTTCCTTATTTAATATTTATTAATAACTTTCATATTTAATATAAAAATATTGTAAATGACCGAAATACCCTTATTGATTAAATTTAATTAGAAAAAATGAAATTTTCCTATTAGTCGAAATTGGTTTACACGGTTTCTTAGAAATGCACGGTTTTCATTTGAACGTGCCCCTATATATATATATATGTATATATACTTGGGATCATGTGAGACCAGCCTGTTGTCGTGAGACTTGAAACTTCACAGCAAAATGCTGTGAAGGTGACTTTTTTTAACATTCACAGTGTTTTTGCTGTAAATGTTCGACTTTTTTTAACCTTCACAGTGTTTTTGCTGTGAAGTTTCAAGTGTAAAAATGTGGTCTCACGGGTGTCACGAAAACAGGCTGGTCTCACGTGAACCCAACCACACACACACACACACACATACACACACACACATATATATATATATATATATATATATATATATATATAGAGGTGGGTTATTTTACAACTCTTTACATTTGTACAACCAATACAACCCAATCTCAACCGTTCATTTAATTTGATGATTATGTGATTTCATAGAAGTTTTGATTGTTTTCTATTATAAAGTATTAATCATAATTAATGAACTCTATTCATCTTCCGTAAATATTCAAATCATAATAAATAAACTCTCATCATTTCTATAAATATTTCAATTAATTGGGTTGCATTGGTTGTACAAATGGACATGATTGCATTTGAAATATACCCTATATAGAGTTGAGTTATTATACAATCTTTTACATTTGTACAACCAATACAACTCAATCTCAATATTTCATTTAATTTGATGAATATGTGATTTATAAAAGTTTGATTGTTTCCTAAAATAAAATATTGATCATAATTAATAAACTCTAGTCATCTTTCATAAATATTCAAATCATTATAAATGAACTCTCATCATTTCTATAAATATCCCAATTGATTGAGTTGCATTGATTGTACAAATAAACATGGTTACATTTGAAAAATATATCCTACGTATATAGAGGAGCGATCAAATGAAAACCACTCAATTTGTAAAAACCGTAAAAACCATATTCCACCAATCATAATTTTTCATTTTGTTCATTTTTTGTAGTTATGAGAGGTTGATTAATCATTTTTATTGTGGAAGATGTTAATCATGGATATTATCATCTTCATTATTTTAATTTTAAAGAAATACAAGAAACAGTTTCATTAAAATTTCATTAAGTAGTATATGAAACAATTTCATAACCATATATGAAACA